TGTCGTCGCGTCGTTGTCGTGACGGCGTCTGTCCACCCTTTTCCCTCTTCTCGCCAAATAATATAGATCATTGTCGAGGAATCGAACGATGAGTAGATTGTGTGCAAATACAATGGAACATCTGTAACTCGAACCTCAATTAAAAAAGAATCTTATTTAAAAGACGAAGAATTTAGAACTTAAATTATTTCGATACCTGTTTTGAAGAAACATGTGTATTTTTTATGTACATGTTCAAAATTCTTTATTGTTGTATGCAATCATTCAAAGAAACGATATATCATTCGCAGCATATATATATATATATATATATATATATGTCTACACGTATACATTACAGTTTGAAGAAGATTCAACGCACTTACATAGTCTATAAATACGCAAGACACAAAGCCAGAGTTGCAGAAATAAGAGAAACGCGAGCGAAGCGGGTGTTGGTTCTCCTCGAGGGCGCTTCCTGAAAGGCGAGCCGTTAATTGTATAAATGATTCTCACGGGAGGATCGTAATTATACCGCTCGCGCATTCCTTAGCCACAGCTCCAAAGGCAGCGAGCGTAAACGTAGATGCGTGAGAGTGCGTACACGCGAAACTCGGCCGTGTGTTGCTTAAATCATTAATTAGTGCCGCACGCGCTACGCTCCACCGTTGAAAACTAGAATTTCGCACGGAACCCCGCTTCGAAATGTTACCACAATGATTAAGCGTTGAATAATTGCCTGATTCTTTTGCTGTCGGTTGTATTCCGTTTAGAGTTGCAACGTTATCTTTTTTTTTTTTTCTCTTTATGTGACGTATAAACTTACAAACCTAATGTAAATCATGTTATATTTTCACATGTACGTAGTATATATTTCTAACCTCAATTAAATGGAATGAAAAGTCTTTTTAGTACGTTTGAATTTTGAACACTGAAACAGTCAAGTTTTGTGTTGAAAAACATAATGATTTTATATTTTTAAAAATAAAATTAAAAATTGGTAATCGTAATATTGTTTCGTTAAATAAATGTGAGAATATTCGTGACGAAGATAACGCCGAATGGCGGCCGAATTTCTAACGAGTCATGCCGTGTCAAAAGGATCCGGCGTAAACACGTTCGCAATCATCAATGCTGTTCTCCCTGTATGAATTTTTTTCTTTTCTATTTCTCGTGCTAAATACGTATTCTATTTGTTCCTTATGAGTAGGAGTTAATTTTATTGTAAACAACCTGACAGTGAAATATGCGGCGATGCGGCGTTGCCAAATAAACGACATATATATAAAAACGCACGAAAATTTTGTAGCGAATGATTCGAATGAAAGAAGAAAAATTATATCGATATATTGAAACACATTTTTACAGTCTTAAAGATTTTTCAAACTTTTGAAATATTTGCATCGCCATATTGAACATGGAAATGTCCATGAGCGCTATAATGAAAGAATTGCACTTTACCAACAGCGCAAAAATTATTTCTTGCGTAAATATTTGCTCCATCTTATAAATCATTAAAACTCTCTTTATTTTTACTCCTTTTGTTAGGGCTGCTTTTTATTCTGTGTAATATTCACACTTCTCATCGGCGATTTGCATTTGGTGACGCTTTCAAGGTGTTCTCTCTCGTGTTGACATTCGAATGCATTTCGCATCGTGGCTACGTGCGATTCTCTGCAATGTATCTCCGCGATTATTCCGATGTTGCATTGTAATGAACAAATCACACTTTACTGAGATTGCACAATCTGTTGGCGCCTACCGTCAACGAAATATCAATTTAATGAGAATGCATCTCTATATCTCAGGCTACTGACCGGCCAAATTGCCTAATAAAAAATTCTTATTCGTTAATTTAAAACTGCTAAAAATAACTCAATAATATATTTTTTTTGTCTTATTTATTGAAAATTATATTTTGAATATTGAAAGAATATTAAGGAAAAATTAAATTTTAATTCTGAGTATATAAAAAAATATTTATAATAATTATTTTATGTATATTTTTTTTATTTTTTAAAAATATCATTTATGTAATTGTATCAACTATAATATTCATTCTAAACATATGAAGAAAATGAAGATTTAATATATCATGCGTCGATAAGATAGTTTCATAATTTTCTTCCTTATCACTTCAGTAACGAAAATAAGGATTACACAAAGAAAAATCGATAGATGGCGGGCAGGTTTAAATGACTGCCATGGTTTTCGGAAACTGTCGGTAGTTTTTATTTCGCGTATTCCGCGACTAAGGCAATTGGAGGGTCGAAATGTCAGAAATTCGATGGGAATCAACGAATGTGTGTAATGTCAGTTATAAGTGACGTATTAGCGCTTCCCGCGGCGCGTTCTTCACGCGAAACGATGCCAAGAGGATAAATTATGCCTCGAAAAGAGAACACGTAAGTGTCCATTAGCCAGCTTCTAACCTCGACCAGTTTATTAGCAAGATTTTCCTTCTCTTCGCGTCTTTTTCTCTGGAACAAGAATGAACAAACGTGTTTTCATTAAAAAAAAATTAACGGTCCGCTCGTTAACGTGGACATATTCTCAGCAAAGCGAAAACATGGGAGCGAGACAGAAGAAAACGTATGAACGCTTACTTCAAAACTCTGGCAGACCTTCTGCCGCCGCATCAGGAGGGTCGCAAACGCAACAAGGTCGACATCCTGATTCACGCATCGAAGTACATCAAAGACCTCCATAGCCGTACAGAGGAATTGTTTTCTGCTCATGCATCAGAAGCACATAGTAAGCAAATAACTTTGACAATAAGCATAATTTCAAAATTTAAGTTTTTTTTCTTTATTTCTTTTAAAATATTTTTTAAAATATTTTTGATTACAGAGGAAGAATTGGCTCGTCTCAAAAAACTTGTAACTCAGCTTTTCTCTCGTACACAATTATTGTCTACTCTTTTACGAGAAGCTGGTATATCTGTTCCAGCAGAACCAGCTCTTGAAAAGATATCCCCTTTAAAATGGTCGAATAAAATTAATGTAGAAGATGCAGAAAAATATTTCAATAAAATAGAAGAAAGTAAAAATATTAAATAAGTATATATAACAAATGAAAAATAATTTTATTGAATTTAAATGTTTATAAAGAATGTTTGATTTTAGTAAAAAATTCTGAAAGCAAGAGGGAAAAGTCTGTAGAACTGAAAGTGCCTTCTAAGAGAAAATCAGTTACTTCTTCTCATTCATCTAACAAAAAAATTGAAAATAGCGATATTTCTAAGGATGTGAATAATTCCATAGAGAATCAA